CTTCACAGAGTTAAACAAATGCAACATAAAAGAATGCAACACATCTTTGCATCATTAAACAAATGTTCCATGGCATGAACAAAGGTAACACATCGTAAAATAATATTCTCCAACAGCCAGAGGACAACTTGCAGGAACCTGTCCTCATCCTCCACCATGTAGAGCCTAGGAATCAAACTCAGGTCATCAGGCTTGGCAGCAAGCACCTTTACTCACAGAACCATCTCGTCTGTCCTTTTTTGTTTTTGAGACAGGGTCTTGATATGTAGCACAGGCTGGCCTTGAACTCATGATCCTCTGCAGGTCATGTCCAGCCCCAGGCATTTTGTCGGTTAATTTGCCAAAGCCTTTGGGAGTAGGAGGAAGCCCATATTATTTCCTTCTTTCTCTTTACTGTGGACAGGTGTGCCCTGGTTTCTAGGGCTCCAGAGACATCTTGTGGGGGCCTTGGCTGCACAGACATCCCCAAAGATGTCCTTGTCTAAAGTCAAGAGTCAGTCTCCATCTACAGTAATCCTCAATGAGAACCAAGGACAGATGGACCTGGGTCACCCTGGGGAGACAAACCTCACTAACTGCTACTGACAGGTGATGATGCCCAGTTAGACTAGGCCTTCCAGGAGAAGCAGGAAATATAGCTCACTGTGCTGAAATAGCCTGGTCTTTAAATGTTACCATCTGTCTTCCTCCATTTTCTGCCGTCCTAACAGAATAGCTGCGCAGAGTCACTTAGAATTAACTGGTCTGTGTTTGGCTCATGGTTCTGGAGGCTGGGAAGTTCAAAGGGTGTGGGGCTGGCCCCTGGTGAGGGCTTTCTGGTCTCATCACCCCACGGCAGAAGACAGAAGAGCGAGTGAGGGCAAGAAGAAGCATGCGGCTTGCTCTTAGAACAGTCCACTAGCGAGAACTAACCCACACCCACGGCAACATATTAAGCCATCCATCAGATCTAAAGCCCCGCCTCTCAACTTCCTTCCGCTGGAATCAAATTCCCAACAGACCAAAGCTCCAGCCACACTAGCTACTGTTACTTTTTTTGGTAACACTGTGTGAAGTAAAGGAAACTTACAGTGGTTGGATTCAGACCAGGGGTCTCCAGGTTGCCAGGATCAAGGGTGAAGGAACGAGCTGGGCACTTAAAGGGGAAGAGATCCCAAGAGGAGAGAATTGCTGTTGGGAAAGCAGGCGCCCAAGGTGGGGCAGGGGGCAAACTCCCCCGGAGCATTCTGGGATTAGTAGCAATTACTGGGATGATTGACAGTTGGGGTGGGCTGAGTGTATCTCTCAGTGTATCTGGTGCCCTCAGCTGGAGAGCTCACACTGGAAGCCCCAGGGCCGCATTCAACCACAAGATACATTTGTTTGGTCTACAACCTGTTAAGCACTAGCAGGTGTGTTAACTGCACACCTGTAGTCCCAGCAGAGGCAAGAGGATCATGAGTTCAAGACCAGCCTGGGTTACACTGTAAGCACCTGTCTCAGAAACAAAACACAAAATAAAAAAAAAAAAAGAAAGAAAGAAAAAAGAAAAAGAAAAAAAGTTAAGTCAGCTTCTTGGGAAATCTAGAAAGGTCATCATAAAAAAAAATACACTTTTAAGGGGCTGGAGAGGTGGCTCAGCAGTTAAGTTCACTGTTCTTCTAGAGGACCCAGGTTCAGTTCCTAGCACCCACCTGGTGGCTCACAGCCATTTGTAACTCCATTCCAGGAGTCCAAGACCTCTTCTGACTTCTGTGGGCACTGCACACATATGACTCACATACATACACACAGGCAAAACATCCATACACAAAACACGTGTTAAAAATACACTCTTAGGGGGCTGGAGAGATGGCTCAGAGGTTAAGAGCACTGCCTGCTCTTCCAGAGGTCCTGAGTTCAATTCCCAGCAACCACATGGTGGCTCACAACCATCTGTAATGAGATATGGTGCCCTCTTCTGGCCTGCAGTCATACATGCTGTATACATAATAAATAAATAAATCTTTAAAAAATACACTCTTAGGGGCTAGAGAGGTGGTTCCGATGGTAAGCATGCTCGCAAGGTAAGCATGCTCACACAGCACAACAACCTGAACTCTCCCTTCCTTGTGTTCTTAGACTCAAAAATAAAAGAATTTTAAAGCAGACTCAAAAGGAAGTGTCCTATTAGGGTTTTGTTTGTTTGTTTGTTTGTTTTTGTTTTTGCTGTAAAGAGATAACATTTAATTGGGGGCTGGCTTAGAGTCAGAGGTTCAGTCCATTATCATCATGGTGGGAAGGATGGTGGCATGCAGGTAGGCATGGTGCTGGAGAGGGGCTGAGAATTCTACATCTGGATCCACAGGCAGCAGGAAGTGAACTGTCTTGAGCATCTGAGACCTCAAAGCTCACCCCCTAGTGACACACTTCCTCCAACAAAGCCACACCCACTCCAACAAGACCACATCTCCTAATAGCGCCTCTCCCTCTGGGCCCGAGGGGGCCATTTTTATTCAAACCACCACGGGAAGTTCGAGGGCAATTTTATCAGAGGTTAAGCAGCAAACATCAGGCCAGCAAGCTGTTGATCTCAGCAGCTGCCCAAGGAAGGAGATGGAGAAGAGGGAGAGACAGTCACCTCTTTGGGAATGGAGGTCTACAAGCACCTACATGGTAGAAGAGGTGGGGGCGCTTCAGAGAAACAGTGAAAAACCCTGAGTGCCGGGGAAAGCATGCTTAGGATTTTTGTCAGGTACGTGAAAGAAAAAGATAGTAAGGAAAGAAAGAAAACATTCTCTGGGGGAGGGGGAGCTCAGAAAAATTGTTAGGCTACAGTGTTATAGGATAAAAGACTTTCAAGCATCTGTACCAGGGAGGGGCTTTGGTGAAGGATAAATACATTATGGCATTAAGGGGTAATTATTCCTCCCATCTCCTTAGCATGGGTTTAGTGAAATCCTCTTTTTTGAGGGATGATCTGGCCAGGTGGTTGACAGGCCCAGTTGGATTAACTCTTAAGGGAAGTGTCCCAATTAACTTTAACTGTCAACTCGACTGCAGCCTAGATCCTGAGAATGGAATCCCAGTTGTGGAATTGCCTAAATCAGACTGACCTCTGGACATGTCTGTGGAGAACTGTTTTTAAAATAATGCAAGAGAGCTCAGTCTACTGTGGGTGACACCATCCCTGGACAGGTGATCCTTGGTTGTGTAGGAAGGCTAGCTAAGCGTGAGACTGTGAAGGAGCCAATCCAACAGTGTTCCTCCATGGTTTCCGCTTCAAGTTCCTGCCTTGACTTCCCTCAACGTTGGACTACAAGCTGAAATAACTGTCTCCTTCCTCAAGTGTGGCTTTTGTTCAGAGTGACAGCAACAAAAGCAAGCTAGAGTCGGAGGAGACAATGGCATGTCATGTTCTATCTTTGGAGCAGATCAGAATGTCATGTCTCCACCCAAAGCCAGAGGTGGATTCCATTCTTTTAACCAAGGGGCACAGCTTTTCCTTAACAGGCTGGGAAAGAGCCTTTCGAGCCACCCTCCAGGCCCCTGAGGGTTTCACTAATACCCATGCCTTTGACTCTGTGCTTTCATTGAATTCCTGAAAATGTTGTGATGCCCAGAGACCACTGGGAGGGTTGTTTTTTCTGAATTAAGTAAGAATACCCACAGTGCTGAGAAACCACAGCCTGTTCCAGGTTCCACAGGTTGCTCTGGGCCAAATGATTGCCAAACATGAGGGCTCTGGACAGATGATTTAGAGGCGAAAAGCTCTTCCTGCTCTTTCAGGGGACCTGAGTTCCATTCCCATCACCCATGGTGGGTGGCTCACAAAAACCTGAAACTTCAGCTCCAGGGGGATCCAATGCCCTCTTCTGGCCTCCGAGGGCGTGCGCACGCGCGCGCGCGCACACACAAATTAAAATGAAATAAAGCAACATGGAGGGAAGATACTTCCAATAACTTTATCATCTACATTAATACATGTTGTTATAAAATCTATGGTATACACAATCATCCCTCTGCACCTGTCAGTTCTGTGTAGGAAGAGTTCATCCACTCGGGAGAAGCACTCAGGAAAAACAAAGCTGTGTTCTCCTGAGGATGTCTGACCTTTTGACCTTGCAACATGATGTCTTCTACAAATATGTTGAGTAGTATTCATCGCTCTCTGGGGTGGACACAATTGCCAAGATAACAATACAGAGTAACAACTATTTACCCACTATTTCCACTGTGTTGAATATAACAAGTACTCTGGAGGTAAATTTAAATCTCCAGAAGACATGGCTAGATTCTGGGCAAATACTACAGCACTGTAAATAAGGAACTTAAAAGGTGAAGCATATGGGCATCCTGGCATCCATATGTGTAGACACTGAACGTGTATGTTTATTTTAGTTTATTATTTTAGTTTACTTAATATTTTTAACAACTGAAACAGGATCTTGCAACACACCCTAAGCTAACCTAGGACTTGCTGTGTAGCTCAGGCTGGTCTCATACTCAAATTCTTCTGGCCTCAGCCTTCCAAATGTTAGGATTACAGGTGTGTACCAGACTACCCTACCCATAACAGTTTCAATCAAGCTTTAAAAAAAATCTTAGTTTATTTTTAATTATGTGTCTTTGTGTGGGTATGTGCATGTGTGTGCACTACCTCAGAGGCCTTGGATCTCCAGGGGTTTTGAGCCATGGGTTCCGGGAACCGAATTCAGGTCCTCTTCAAGAGCAGCTAGCACTCTTAACTGATGAGCCATCTCTTCAGCCCCCTCAATTAAGCTTTTTAAAAAGATAGTATGTTTTCAGGATGCAAAATTCCAAAGTGTAAATGGAAGTACAAATCTCTCCTCCACCTTCTCCCAGGTCCCCTCCCCGCACCCATGGGTATGACTTTCCAGAGATATTTCATCCCTATACAAGTTACACACACATACACACACATCTCTCCACCACAGTGACATCATGCCCTGCTCACCCACGCCCCCCACCCCCCACCCCCAGCTTTGGTCCCTTTGCAAGAGGCCTGGAGATCCACTTACATCTGACCACAAGGCTGTCATTCTCACTGTGCTGGATGGTCTCACAGTCTCCGGCCTCACAGCTTACTCACAGTTCTCACCTGATCCTTCTAGCATCTGGGCTTTCACCCAGGAAGCACAGAGACCCAAGCCTCCCGCCCCTCCGTTCTCCGATGCTTGTAGTTCCTATGATATGCAGTAGAGGGAGACACCATCCTATTCTTGGGACCACCAAGGGTTTTGGTTGTTTTCCTGAGGGGCAGTCAAGCTCGTGGTGTGGCTAGGTACAAAGATCCCCTAAGAGGATCTGGGATCCTCTGCACAGACCCCTACTAGGTCTCTCTTTCCTCAGTTTCTATCTCTGCATATGCCTCTTACCCTCAGGGAGAGGTCTGCTCGTTTATGGGAGACAAGAAACTTTGTCCAGCTAGGGCTTGGAGCTCAGGAGTTGCCCCAGGGAACACAGGCCAATGTAGCTAAGTGAGCTACATCACTGAGGGAGGCCATGATGGGAAGTGCGTGTGGGGGGTCTTTTTCCCCCTAGAACGTTGACCCTAAGTCCCCTTTAAGTCTCCCACAACAGCAGCCTCTCCCTAGCCTGGTGCCTTAAAGCTCCACCCCACGGTCCTCACCATAGTGTTGGGGGTCGTCTGGAGTCCAGCTGGTGGCCGAATAGAAGCCACCCCTTTCCTGGTCCTGCCCCTCCCAGTGACCCCAATCCTCTGCCAGCCATTCAATGGTGCCTTGTTCTCCATCCAGCCCCCAGACAAAAGTCCTTCTGTATAAGAAGGCGGAATTTGGGGGGAGGGGGCACCCCCAACAGGGACCATGTGGGGGCTTGTACAGACCCCAGGCGGAAGGAGCGCCATGAGGAGGGGGCAGGAGGGAGGAGGACAGGGTCGGGGCTTGCAGAGTTCGGGGGCTTATCTGTAGTGGAGAAAGGCAGTGCTGACATCCACACCCACACCCTCTCCGGAGCACCCTCCCATCAGCCCCGCATTCCTGGGAGAAACATGGCTCAGGACTACAGCCTGTGCCCAAAGCCAGTTCCTTCCCAGTTTTCTGGGGCCTGGCCTATGAGCCCCGAGAACCACAACCCCACCTTTGCCCACCAAAGTGTCTCCTTCGTGTGGCAGCCTCAGCCATGTCAATGTCTTCTATTAACCCCTGAGTCCTGCCAGCAGACTCCAGGACAGACGGACGGATGGACAAGGGCTTTAACCCCTGTAAGCGCCGGCAATCCCACCCCACACAGAACCACAGCTGGTGCCGCGCACCTTTAACCCCAGGCAAAGGCGGATGGATCCTGATGACACCAGAGCCAGCCTGGGCTACAATGTGAGTTCCAGGCCAGCCAGAGCTACACAGTAAGACCCTGTCTCAAATAAACAAACAAAGAAAAAGTATCCCCAAACCTAAATCAAATAAATGTTCCACTTTAACCCTCCAAAAAGATGGTTTGTTGTTAAGGAGCTGGGAACCTTCCCCATAAACCCGGTCTCCTTGGGAGTTCAGGAGACTGGACAAGACATCTCCCCTCCATTGTGGTGCCAATCCCCAGCCCACCACAACCCCCTCTCACTTCACTTGAGGCTACTACAGCTAGAGAACGGGTAGAACTGTCTCTTTAAGGGAGGAATGGGGTGGGGGCGTCCCTCGCCTCAGGGAGACCTAACTTGTGCCTGCCTGCCCAGGTTTGCTCAGGGCGTGGCAGTTGTGGATAAAGGCTGCCCAGGCTCGGCAGTCCACATTCTGCTCTCTCCCTCCCGGAACCACCTCTCAGCCTGTTGAGCTAATCAGGTGAGCGGCCTGGGGGCCCCTTCCTCCCAGAGACCTTTGCCTCTGTCCCCCAACTCTCCCTGGCTCTCCTCTGGCTGTCCCTGCTACATAAAAACTGGGGTTAAAGACCCCAAAACCTTCCAGCTTCAAGACTTCTTTTCTGGGGGCAGGAGACTACCCTCTCCTGCTTCAGCTGCCTGTTCCTCACGGCTCAACTCTGTGGGACTGGACTAGACATCTGGGGTAACCCACCTGGCATTCACAGTGGGGATCAAGGAAGACTTGGGGGGGTCTGAGTGGATGAGAAGTCTGGTTTTGCTGATGGTGTCTGAACTGGGTGGGGGTGTCGGGGTGCACGGGAAATGATCATACTGTGGTATCACGATTGGGGGTTTCTCAGCGGGTGAGGTGGGAGGAGCATCTGGGGTAACTGAGCAGACAAGGAGTAGTTTAAGTGCATGGAGGGATGAAGTGAATGGGGGCTGTGTCTGGGTGGACAGGGAGTGGGGTCCATGGACGACGATGAATGCCAGGAAAGAGGGATGCTCTGTTCTAGGGAGGTTGTAAAGTGGGGCCTGGTTAGGAGACGTGGGGGACTCAGATGACAAGTGTGTACGCAGTGTACCCCCGCAGAAGTGGCCGTCCTCCACCATCTTGGAGGAGGAGAGAATGCAGGAGGCAGGTGGTAGCTACTGTCCTCCGACTGGCACAGCCAGGAAGTAGATGAGGTGGGGAGCATCCCAGTCAGACTTCTCGTGCTGGCTCCACTATGGCCCACTCCAAAGCAGGCAGCCTTTCTTCAGAAAACAGCATTAGCAGAGACAGGACAGTGAGGGGGGAACGGCGGCTTCCGGCTCCCGGCAGCCCTCCGCACGCCAGGGTCCAGACTGTGCAGCGGCAGGGCAACCCTGTCTTCCCCACCCCGGTTCTGAGTGTCTTGTGGGAATGGGAGATTGGGGGCCGGGGGGGCCTTGGAGGAGTCTATAGGGAGAAATGTAAGGGGTGAGACCCAGCAGCCGTGATGACAGCGTACAGTGTTAAGATGAACTCAGACGTGATGGTTGTGACAGCGGCGTGGAATAATGACAGAGCCAGCTTCATCAAGCTGTGATGATGATATGAGGGAGCATCATGAGATCCTGAGAAAATGCCCGCATGGGCTGGACACTCAGCAGGAGCACTGCCGTGGCTAGTGTTTTTACCCGAATGGGTAACAAAGTGTTAGGAGGCAGCCTTGGCCCGCAGACACCTGCAGCATGTACCCCTAACCACCACTTCAGCTCCCCAAAGCGCTAGCTGGGGCCCTAGACATCTGAGACACAGCCCCCAAATCTACTACAAAAAAAAAGAAATGCATGTTTAATCTAAAACAATGAGAGGTGTGTGTGTGTGTGTGTGTGTGTGTGTGTGTGTGTGTGTGTAAAATGAGTATTAAATATTAAATCCAGGGCCTGAAGAGCAGGCTAAGCAAACCTCCACTGCTGGGCCAATTCTCCTAGGCCCTCACTGGGAGATTCCAGCCAGGGGCTCTACCACTGAGCTACACCCCCAGCCCCTCACTGGGGGATTCTAGCCAGGGGCTCCACCACTGAGCCACACCCCAGCCCCTCACTGGGGGATTCTAGCCAGGGGCTCCACCACTGAGCCACACCCCAGCCCCTCACTGGGGGATTCTAGCCAGGGGCTCTACCACTGAGCTGCATCTCACGTCCTCTTTTGACTTTTTTTTTTTTTTTTT